TTCCTGACTTTAGTACAAAATTAAAGAGTCATGAGCAGATTGACCAATTTGGTAACACCAGATTTCGTCCGTTTAAACCTATGCTAAATGATCGATTCTTGTCGAAGCATCAGACCCTTCCAAGAATCGATAAATTTCCATAGGTTTAAATGGGGAAGACAATGTTGCTAATTTGCTGGATCAGCCAATGGTCATAAGTCATAACCACATGCTGCTACTTGTGTCAATATTACCTGCTTATTCCTGACTTGCTCTGATTTTTTCAGAAAAATACATAGCAGCATGTGCCAAAATTATCCTTGCGGTTTTCCGATCTCTTAACGTCTTCATTTAATGCTGTTAGATCCTGCTCAAACGATCATTTGAAAATTATACGTTAAGTCGCTCGCTACACCGAGGAACATTTCCCACTGCATCAACAGGAATTGAGCTTTTTGAAAAAAGACCCATGTGCCAATTTGAATTTTAAAATAAGGAAAAATAAAAAATTCGTGAGTCATGATCACATGTTGCTTCTTGTGCCAATACTCTCTGATTTTTCCTCACTAGCTTTGGCTTCATCAGCAAAACGCATAAGCAAAAAATTATCCTTACGGTTTTCTTGACGTGCCTAAACCTAAGAGTCAAAATTTACGCGATGTCTGAGAAATCGAATTTTTTTTATAAAATCTCCTGTTCACCAAGAGCGAACTTTCAGTAATATAAAAGAGTATTTCCTCGATATTTCGCGGTTTTCTTCATACATTTTCTGAACTGTTTCAGTTCCTGATTTCCGACTTCGAGCATGACAAATTTTTCGTCGAGAAAAGTCGAGAGGGAGATAAAATTCGATTTCAGTTGGAAGTTGTGAATACCTTCCGAATTTCAGCATGAAAATTTGGGTCGAGGTATTAATGAAGGACACTGAAGTTATCAATTTTAACGTTTGGGTCGATGTCGGCGCACATCAGGGAGCCATTAGAACAATTATCCGAAATATGTGTGTCTATGACACATCTAGTGACACATCCAATCATACATTACACAACCGTAATTGAGCGGTCTGCATGTTACTGCGGAGAATCGACTAGTTCGAGCGAATTTCAGCGAGTTCAACATTTCTGGACGCGGAATAACCCGCATTTGAGCGCTCGAATAAAGCCACGGCCCGATAATAGGCTGGAAACTAATAAAAAGGACGAAGAAGAAGAAAGGGAATAATGTCATTACTGAATGACTCAGATGTTGCAACGTACGCATATTTAATTACAAGCTAGCTTGTCCTTACCTCCACTCGCCACCTCATTACGTTCACTTCGCACTCCAGTTTCATTGCAAGAGGTTACGCACACCTAATCAAATCGACTTTTTTGTCATCCCTCAGGGGAGAAAAATTGTTTCGACGTGAAATTTGGATAACATTTAACGCACACCAGGCCATTTGGACTACATTTTGCGAGTAGGAACTAAAATTTCTGTTTCAGATTAGAAACAATGTATGATTCTAAAAATAAGCCAAAGGTTGTAGTTCCTAATTGTAAAATCAAGTCAATTTGATGATTACACGTTGCATCACTGCACTGATAATAGCTTCCCATCAGATCAATAGGAATTCCTGTTGCATACGCCGTAACGAGATTTTTTCGTTGATGTAACAAGAAATCCCCTCGTTTCAAACAGTTATTACTTCAAAGACTCGTCCAATCGCTTTTCCTCGATATTGCTCGAGTTTTCACGAAGGACAGATTATGTAATAGTTTGATGATGAAAAAACGCTCGGAAAATCTGTATACGTAACGACTTAGAAAAATTCGTAATTTTAAGATGTTTTTTTATTCCAAAATTCTGAAAAATTTCGCCATACATATAAATGAAACATTGTTCGTCTTTAAAATTTGACTATTTTCCTTACTTTATTTGACTTATAGGCTGCGAAGTTTGTAATTGAATCAATGAGAACGAAAACACACCAACTCGTAACTCGAAAATCCTTAATTTTCATTTGAGACAGTTAATTTTCATAAAGGTCATTGAAGTTAGCGCATCTGTTCCGACCTGGACCTTTTAAGTGTCCTCAAGTACTTGTCTTTTGGCATCAAAAATTTATTCCTTAGACCAACTTCTGCACCTACTGTGCAGTTTTGTGTATATTATCAGAATTATTTTCATTTTTTCGAGTTTGCGTGTTTTCGTTCTCACTGATTCAATTCTTCTACTACAGTAGTCTTGGCTGTAAAAAAGAGCTTGAGATAAGAGAGAGGCAGGGTTGACAGGGAGCGAAGGGAGGGGGGAGTAAGAAACGAGAACTCGAAAGCGCGAGGAGAAAATTAGTCACGAAATTCAAAATAGCTCCGTTGAGTGGGTAAAATTGGAGGATGACTCAACGGGCTGTGTCTCTTCACTGGTCATCGACCACGTGCCCAGCCAGCTTCGACACTTCCCGCTCTTCGTCGACGGCGCGGCGGGGACGAAAAAAAAAAAAAAAAAATCCAAGACAGAATTCGTGTTCGGATTGTCCTTTTCTAATATTATAGTGGCACTCGTTTCAAAATACGCTCTTATTTAAACCCAAAATATTTTCGGAGATTTATTTTTAACCGGAGCCGAAACATTTTCCCGACCTTTGGACGAGGGCCAGAAGCGGAATCGTGGACTAATTCCCTCTCGGACTCGGACTCGCTTCCGCGACTTATGATCCTCCGGGATTGGACTACATTTTGCGATTTGGAGCTGCAATAACTGGCTCGGATTAGAAATAACGTAAAAACTATAACGTAAACTAGTTTTTATATGAACGTAGGCGCTTTTACGGATGATCCAGAAATTGCGGTTCCCAATGGATCAGTTGCGCTGGTCACAGAATCGTGTTCGGATGTTTGATTCTTGTAGATTAGCAAAGAATAATAAGATCCGTCCAACAGCAGCTTTCTACGTTCAGTATTTTTAACCGAAATATCCCCCCTTAAAAAAACCCTAAAACCCTTTAAAAAATCGACTTTTCATGGGGCGATATCTCGGGTAATACTGAACATTTATTAGAAACAGTATTCAGGCAAAATGCGTTGTTTGAAACATCGAATCCATAGATAACAAATAAAGGTGCCCCATCAATTTTCTCCTGACATTTTCGTCATTTTCACTGATATTTCCAGGCTTTCCCTGACTTTGTAAAATTCCCTGACATATCCCTTATTTCCCGACACTTTCTGGAGCAATTCCCTGACAATTGAAGATATGCCAGACGGTTTAAAGGACATTATTAGAGGTAGTTTTTAGGCAAAATACGTTGCTGGAAACGTCGAACCCATTCTAGATGGCAAATGAAGGCGACCCAACAATTTATCCCTGACATTTATGTCATTTTCCGACATTTCCAGGCTTCCCGTGACTTCTAAAAATTCCCTGACATTCCTCAGTTTTCTCTGACTGTGGCATGTGGCAACCCTGAATATATCGATCATAGCCAGGATGCACTGCGCGAAAACTGAAGATCCACTTCAAATGTATGCACCTTCACCGTCGTGCAAGAGCGGCCGGAGAGCGTTCGGCCAGGCCGGCGTCATAGTTCTCGTCGTCGTCGGTTGAATAATTGTCTGCGAGTTGTGACCTCTGGCTCTGGCGCGATGACCGGGATAACCTCCCGTAGACTCGGCATTGCCGGCCCGGGCCGGGCGCACCGAGACCGAGGCACCAATGACTCATGAGTCATCGGATCATCAACCGCTCGTCGAGCCACAGAAAGACAACCTTCCATCCAAACCCGACCCCGAGAGCCAGGTCTTAAGCCGGTTCCAGACCCGAGGAACCCGACCCAATTGAATTCCTGGCCCCGCCACTGACTAGAGTCCAAACGAGAACTTCCCATTCTGCTATCGGGAACTCCCGCTTATCCTTAGGGAAACAAAATTGGAAAATTTCTAGCTTTGCTGGTCATCAATATTTAAATACATGCACGAAATCAGGCATGAAAATCGACTGACTGCAAAATCGCGATCCAATGGGAAAATAATTAAGAATCAACTAGCGAGGGATTGCATACTTTCCAGACTATCTTAAAATCATGGGGTCTAGAATTCTTGATTATCTTCATTTCCTGACGATATGTTTAGGGAATAGTTTCGTTGTGAAAACTCAGGATTTCCACTTGGTTTCCTCTGGATTTTGAAAGGGGAAACAAGATTTTCCCCCGAAATCTAAAGAGAAAAAACAACTTTTTCAAATCTAGTCTGATTCTTTGAGGCTAAATTAACACAAATCACTAAATTTAGGAATAATTTGATTTTGGAGCGGAGAACGAAGAAATCCCCGATTATATAAGTATTTTTTCTAACAAATTCCACGATTTTTCATGTTTATGTTTCATTCCCTGATTAATGCCGGTAATTCTAGACATCATGCTTAAAAGAACACGTTAGATGAAGCGGAGAAATTTGGACCTTCTTCCGGAATTTTTGTACTTTTCAGCATTTCCTGCCTGCCCCAAAAAAATCAATAATAATTTGGACTTCCACGGAAAGAAGAGGTAGGGGTTGAGACCCGATTTGATTCAGGAGCTAAAATTGTATTATTACCCTGATAAATTAGGTTACTAACCCAACTGTTGCGGTGCTACCTCCAACTTGACTTGTGGCGCTACCAAAACTAAATGGAAATACCCAAATGATGCAAGAAAATTGGGTAGTACCACAATTTTAAGGGATTATCGCTACCTCTTCTTTTTCCGTATTCTGGACCATTCTTCCGTGCTAAGAAAAAACGCCGTATGAGCATTCGAGAGTTGTCAAATCTCCTAGAAACCTTGAATTTCCTTGAATTTTTGTATAGTTTTCTTGAGATTTTTAGATTAATTTGCGGGCAATATAGCCTAAAGAGGTAAAAAAAAAAATATATTCATACGTAATTTTCCTGGTGAATTTGACTTTAATTGAGGAAATATGGCAACATCTGAAGGCTCATACGACGTTTTCCTTTAGCATGGCAGCATCAGACACTGCCAGGATAAGGTATAAGATGGTGCTTACCTAGAAGAATAGCCGGTTCCCGGTTGTCCTCAACGAGCGACGATAGCACGAGAAAGAGGGGGTGGTTGGGTGGGAGGCGCTCCAGGTCGGAGGTGGAATCGTCGTAGACGACCACTTCCTTGATGGTGCGCTTCTTCAGAAGATCCTTCCCCTCGCGGGTGGTGGCCAGGTCGGCGAGGGTGGCCTTGCCCTGCTGGAGCCGGCGCCGGTTGAAGCGGTCCGAGCAGTTGACGTTGATGGAGCCGCGGATGTGGTTGACGTTGTAGGCCAGGAAGGGGCGGCAGTCGACGACGAGGAGGCTCCGGGACTTGACCTGCCCGAGCCCGAGGCGCCCGGCCAGGGTCTCCGGCTCGAAGAGGCGCACGCACTTGGCGAGGAGGGCCTTCTGGAGGGTGGCGCTCTCGGAGCACGGGCTCGCCGGGAGGGAGAAGCAGTCCACCTTGCAGCGCTTGGCGGGGGCCGCCGCGGCCGGGAGGGGCGCCGCCGCCGCCGGCCCCGGCTCGCTCAGGCTCCGGTTCAGCGAGAGCCGGAGCCCCTCCCGCGACTTGCCCACCTCCACCTCGCAGTACACCGTCGACATCGCCCCGCTTCCCGCTCCCGCACCTGCAACACATCCAAACGGGGCGACCAATCAGTGACGGTTTATCCACATGCATGCATTGATAAAATACAGAATAGAGGCGGATCTTGCAATTTGGCAACCGGATTTCCTCTTTTTAGGCCTATGTTGAATAATCGATTCTTGTCGGAGCACCTGGCCCCTACCACATTTGACTCATTTCCATAGGTTTAAATGAGAGGGGGGGGAAAAAACAATGTTGCCAATTTGCTGGATCCGCCAATGCCCCGAGGGCTCGGGGGGGGGGGGAATGCTGCCAATTTGCTGGGTTCGCCAATGAAGAAGCAAGGGACATTTTAGGTATGTTTAGATTGGTAATACAGGTCGCTATAGACGCTATTAGTGCAACGTCACAGAAAAGCGATATATATAGATTTTTTCGCACTGGTAGCATTGAAAGAGGTTATGCCAATGTTATTGTTTGGATCCAATTCGATATAATGGAGAATCCCTATGATGACGTCGCCACTAATAGCGTCTATTACAATTTCTAGCCCATCCGTAAAAACACTCGTGTACATGTGCATAGAAAGACTAATGGTACATACGTTGTTTCTACACTGAGCCAGGAATTGCAGTTCCTGAGCAAAATGCAGTCCATTTGACGTAACGCAAATAGAAAACATGAAATCGTAAAACATTTCACGATTGGAGACTACATTTCTGGCTCATCCGTAAAAACACTTGTGCACATGGAGTAACAGATGGTACACATAGTGTTTTTAAACTGAGGTGCGAAATGTAATTCAAAATTGCGAAGTATGGTCCAATTAGTTTGAGATCAGCCAAAAAATGAGAAATGGAAACGGACCTTCTAAAACGACTGATCATAAAATAACTTTGGAAAGGACCTCAGTATATAATCATTCTGACACACACAATATAAAAACACGAGAAATAGTCGAAAATGGGAGGAAAAAGAGAGTGCGGTCAAAAGCAAACATAACATGTAAAAAAGGAAATGCGTAACTCTCTGATAAGAAATTTTTCAAAAGTCGAATTTGACCCCTCTCTAACTCTTATTCGTCGATTAGAGAGTTCACACTGGAACTTCCATAATCTAAGGACGGGCAAAAACAGATAAAAATGGGAGAAAAAGTCGAGAAAAATCAGAAAGCGGTCAGACGCAAATATAACCTGCAAAAATGGAGTCCTGTTTCCCCTTGTAAGGGACGAAAATCAACTTCAGACACCGGAACCGTTCCACTCAATAAACCAAGATCGGTCACTGATGACGACTCGGAGAAATATCAGCCGCGGGGCGCAACGGACTGGAGGGAATCGCCCTCGGGCCAGGTAGACTCGGGGAGAGAGGTGTCACGACCGGGAGGAGGGGGCGACGAAAGCGGAGCGAGGGGACGTCGGCCGACGAAAGTTTTCCTTTGGGCAGCGGGGATCCGACGTGCCGCAAGCGAAAACCCCCGGGTCCCCGCCCCCCAGCCCCCCGTCGTGGTCGGACCCCGAAACGAGACCGAAATAAGAGGGAGCTCCGAGGGATTTGGAAGGAAACCCGCGGTGGCTCATCCCGAAGCAATGCGCCAGCGCCCGCTGCCAACAAAGTCCGAATGCTTTCCCGGTGTTTCACGAGGCGTTGCCAGACTGGGCATGGTGTCTAGAGTTATGAGCCATACTCATTCCCTGATTTTCCATGATTTTCAGGAGCTCTGTTCCTGATGAGGGATCAAAATTCTCTCCCACTTGGCCAGGATTTTCTTGGGAAAAACGGTACAACACCCCAGGGGTGCAGAAAATGTACACCCTAGGCTCAGGGGTGCCCGCCCAGGCGCGTGAAAATGTGGAATAGCCCCAAAATTGCGGGAGGGGGGAACATTTAGAGGGGCAAAAAGTCGAAAATCAAGAGAACGCAGAAGAAAAACGTTATTTTTTTTTACATTGGTGGGAAATTTTGTGTAAGCTAGCTGGCGGGCGCGGGAAAATTTGGAAGAAAGAAATAAGTCTAAAAGCAGTAGAAGAGGAAATGAGCGGTTTATGTAACAGATTCCCTTGTTTTTCCTTGATTTTCCCTGGAATTTTTCATTCCCGAGCCCCGAATTTTCCCGATCCACACGCCAGGCACTGGGCGAGTGACGTCCCGCTTTTAGACTGAGTTATGAACAATTATTGTCGAGTTATGTAAAGAAATCGGATTTTGAAATGTCAAAAGAAAACTCATTCCAGCGTTTCAAAAAATTTAATGTTCACAGAATTATCGTTAGTTCGTCGTCCGATAAGAAAATAAAACAAGATAGGAGATTTTGAAAAACCGCAAACGAGGTACGCGATTTTGCAGTATCATCGTCGAAATGAAGCTCTGAGCGGCAGAACTGATCGTGAGCCGGTGAAACGTGACTCCGTCACGGAGAGTAAGTCGCCCGCATTTAGACGGGTAGGCAAAAACAGCTCCTGAGCGTCGCAATAGTTGCCTTCTTTTACAGTGAAGGCGCGCCATGCTCCGCTGCGCGGCGCACTCACAATCAGAAGCGCACCCTGCGGTCGTGCAATCGGCATGTTTTCCGCCTTCGATTTAACAGCTTAGGCAAAAACAGCTCTTAAACGTTGCATCTCACTTAAACAGTTGATCCCCAATTGCGAGTTTAGTGGGGCTTAAAAACTAAATCGCACTTCAATACAGATGATACAACTCGCGTATACTATCTAAGTAGTGGTGCCACTTTTTTTGTGATCTGCCGAGTTCAGAGGCAACTTTAGGGATCAAAGTAATTTCGGTAATTTCTATATCAAATTCGACACCACTTGTCGCGAATTGGGAGAAAGTCTTCCGGACATTTCTTCCTTTTTTTACCTTCTTTTTCTTTTTTTTCAATATTTGGGGCTCAGAGCCCGCGACTTGACTAAAGAGATGAGAAAAGGAAGTTTCATTATATTGGAACAGATTTTTTTTATTTTTTACGACCAGATGTGAGGTTTTATCGCTACGATTGGCAGCAATGGATTCACTGCCGCGCCGCGCGGCGGCGGTTGAGTTGGAGATGATTCACACATTTCGTCATGTAGGTTTCTTACGCGTCCAGAGCTTTGGAGGCCTAGCCAAAACAATTGAGACGTACTTGGAGTGCAGACGGAAAAATATCCTTGTTTTCTCCTTCTATCTTTCCCCTCGCTCCCCCTAGATGACGAATCACGCAGTGGTAATGCGAAAACAAAAACTGGATACAAACAGCTTTAAAATTAACTGTGACGTCGTGATCCTAGTGATTCTCCATTCAAACAGGTGCTGATTTTATCTAATCAGATCGAGAGACTCTAACTTCAAAGTGCTCCTCCTCAAAACTTTGTTTTTAAATTTGCAAACTTGCAAAAACGATAACTTAATTTTGATTCGATTTAGCTTGAGTATATTTTGGCGCGGAAGAGAATCCAAAACACTCCTCGACGCAATAGTGTCATTTTCACACTTGGGATATTTTTGGCATTAAACCCTTTTTCCAGCGAGTTGACGCAGATTGACTACAATCAGTGGAAGAAAACAAAGTTACATTTTAAGTTGTTAAAATCGAGAGAACGGGGAAATCAAAAAAAGTTTTCTGCATCATCTTGCGGGGAAAATCTCATATTTTTGTACCCTTTGATGAGAGACCCGTGCATTTTCCGTCATAAAATCCGCACGTATCATTCAAACTCCGTCTTTTTTCCGCACGGTTCGAGACAGTTTTTCAAAATAACAAAACCAAGAAATGTCGAGGACTTCTCGATCGGCTGGGCATATGTATTGAATCAAGTACTTGAAAACTGAAAAAATGTCAAGTATCATCGCTTTTCTGACGTAAGGGCGTAAATCTAATTCCCTATGATCCCCGAAAAGCATGGACTTATACGGAGAATAGGGCTCACGTGGAAATAGAGATACGCACTCACGTTGGAGGGGCGACGAAGGACTTCTATACTGCCGTGCTAAGGAAAAACGCCGTATGAACCTTCAGGCGTTGCCAAATTTTCTTCGATAAAACACGATTTTCTTGGTAAACTTATGAATATTTATCTTCCAATTTTTCAGAGAATATTCTTTGCATTTTGATCTAAAGTCCCTGAAAATTTCAAGGAAAAATATTCATAATTTTCCTCATAAATAAACATTTTATCGAAGGAAAGTTGGCAACTCTCGAATGTTCATACGGCGTTTTTCCTTAGCACGGTAGTGTAGACCTCCCGAGTTCTGAACAGAGGAAACACCCATAGGCGGAACTAAGAAATCAACTTGGCCCCTTCCAGGAAATGTGAGAGATTTTATTACGAAAGAAGAGTGTGACAAACCTTCCATCTTAGAAATCGTAATTGGATCAATTTTTCGGCAAGAGCAGCTCAAAATTGCTCTGGAGATGACTCACTTTTTCAGACTTTCGTAAAAGGCCCCCCAGATCCTCCAAAGACTTTACTAAGGAAGAACGAGACGAAAATCAATTCATCTAGGAAATCGTAATGGGATCAACTTTCGGCGCGAAGAGCTCAAAATTGCTCTTGAGAGATGAATCACTTTTTCTAAGTCTTTTAAGAAACACTGAGAAAAAAAACACATTGGATCTGGAGTCCAGAATCTTAAAAACGTCGACAAGAAAAAGTAATCTTGATTCAATCAGAATCTAGCTTAAATCAAGAACTGAGACTCTTAATTTAAGCGGATTTCGTTTTGATTCAAGCAAAAATCCAATTGAATCAAGAGTATTTTTTCTTGTCAATGTTTTCAAGAGTCTGGACTCTAGATCCAATGTGCCTTGTTTCTAGTGAAAGCCCCCCGGACCCCCTTCAAAGCTAAAAAAATCCCCCGAATCTTCCGTTGGAGCCCAGGGAGCCTCGGGAAATCTGGTAGACCTCCTTAAGTGGCGTGTTTTTTCTTGCCCTGAAGAGTCGCCTTGATAAGTTCCTCTTCGGCCCCCTGCCAACCCCCCCCCCCCCCCCCCNAAAAAAAAAAAAAAAAATACGTCTGCCGAAAAGAGAGAAAGATAAAAATAAAATATCTGCACTTGGA